CCCTGTGTTGTGAGCTCTTGTCTGTACCAGTGTACATGCTCTGATCCAGCTGGATTTGTAAGGTAGAATTGGGGACATGGTAGGCTGGGGTGGGGAGAAAGCCTTAAAGAACTAGAGGAAAGTTATATGTTTCATAAGTGCTATACTGCACCCTGACTCACTCGGCATTGTCCTTTCATGTCCCTCTTCATTCTTGGAAACCAAAGGAAATTGCACAGAGTGAGGTCAGGTGAATAAGGTGCATGGGGCAAGAGAGGCATGCTGTTTTTTGCCCAAAACTTGCACATTGAGGTGGCTGCATTAGTATGTGCATTTTTTGTGATGGCAAAACTCGTCCCCCATCTCCAACAAATGAGGGCTTTTTGGTTACACACTGTTACACTATCTTTTCAGAGCCTCTAAATAGAAAGTTTGATTAACAAATCTGACCTGGTGGAACGAACTCTAAATGCACCGAGTCAATATTTTTGTCCCTTTGGGAAGTTAACAGACATACAGAACAAGGTTTGTCATCAGTTAACATTTCACTTTTTGAAATGAGAAAACCACTCATACACGTGAGTTTTTCCCATAGCGCTGTCCTGGTAAGCTGTGCTCAACATCACAACAGTTTCTGCAGAATTTTTTCCCAAGCAGAAAACAAAATTTCACAGCAACATGCTGTTCTTTTAAATCAGCCATCACAAAAAATGAGGTTCTAATGAAGACAAACAAACAAACAACAAGCAAGACGAGGTTTGAGTGAAACTGCTTTTACTCACTGTGTATTCACTGTACCAGAGAGAAGCTTCCCACGTGCACTAACTCAGAGCAAGTTGCTTGATGCTCACCTAGCGGGAATAATGTGTAGTATGAAAGCTCAGCCCAGCAAAGTTTTTTTCCTGTTTTTTTTTGGGGGTGGTGGTGGTGGTTGGGTAGGGGTCATTCCCTTTTATGTATCTATATAGATGTATGGATTTTGGACTTACACTTTATTCTAGCCCCAATCTAAGAACAATTAGTTCTTATGATATGGCCCTGCTTGATGATCACCTTCATGAAGAGATCACTGAAGTTATGGCACTATAGCAAACTGGTGAAGAAACCAGATGGTGCTTCGTTAGAGAATAGTGTCTGGGGTCTTAAAGCCTTGTCTCCAAACAGGCAACTATCTTAGTAAAGTGGTTAGTAAACGTCGTAAACTTCACAAGGAAGAAGCATAACAGCCATGTGATCCAAGTATTTTAAATGCTAAAACCCAAACCCAAAGGAGGGAATATTATCAGAGCTTTAATTCTGAACACTCAGTTAGCAGAGGGCTACGGATGACAGTGGAAGCCCAGATTCATTTGCAGGGTCCCCCATATGGATTACGTCTCTGGTACATCCTCTCCAACCAAGGGATTGTCAAGGGATGTGGTAACCATGCCGTCATACAGAGAGCATTGAAAAGCCAATTATAGCAGATGGAGTTAGTTTACGATGTCCTACGCTATCATTTGATCTCCCTTTTGACCCATTATAAAGTTGTTCCAGTTTTTCATATTTTCTGCTTTCTCTTTGATTGAGGGTTTTCTGTGTTTTGTCTAGGCATTTGTTGTTTGTTTGTTTGCTTTGTATAATTTTGTGTGATTTTGTTTTATATGATTTTCTGAAATCCAGAATAGATAGATCTATAGAGATAAAAATTGGATAGGGTACAGTAGGGGAAGGTGGGGGGAATGGGGCACTAACAACAATGTGAGAAGAAAGTGTTCTGAAATTGATTGTAGTAATGATTGCACAGATCTTCTTAATATTTTAATATTGAGAATAATAACTCAATAATATAATATCTTCCCCCCCTCATATTCCATTCTGTACTTTTAAAAAAATCAATTTGGGGGGAGCTCTTAAAGTTCTTATCACAATCCATACATCTATTGTGTCAAGTACATTTGTACATATGTTGCCATCATCATTTTCAAAACATTTTCTTTCTACTTTAGCCCTTGGTATCAGCTCATTTCCCCCCCTCCCCAGCCGTCCCTCCCTTATGAACCTTTGATAATTTATAAATTTTCTTTTCATGTCTTACACTGACTGCTGTCTCCCTTCACCTGCTTTTCTGTTTACTGTTCCCCTGGGAGGGGGTTATATTATAGATCATTGTGATTAGTTCCCCCTTTCTCCCCACCCCACCACCTTCTCTATCATCACTACTCTCATTATTGGTCCTGAGGGGTTTATCTGTTCTGGATCCCCTGTGTTGTGAGCTCTTGTCTGTACCAGTGTACATGCTCTGGTTTAGCTGGATCTGTAAGGTAGAATTGGGGTCATGATAGTGGGGTCAGGGGAAGCATTAAAGAACTAGAGGAAAGTTGTGTGTTTCATCGGTGCTATACTGCACCCTGACTGGCTCATCTCTTCCTTGAGATCTGTCTGTGAGAGGATGTCCAATTACCTACAGGTGGGCTTTGGGTCTCCACTCCGCACTCCCCCTCATTCACAGATATGCTTTTTTGTTCTGGGTTTATAATATCTTAATATCTGAACTATTAAATCATATGATATGTGAAGTAAATACCAATAATACTATTAAAATTTTTTGCTAAGCGAATCCCTTTCTAGCCTTCAGAACTGGTTAAAGTGTGGGTGTTGATGCACTGGCAAATTGCCCAAATCAGTTTCTCAGCCCAACCTTAAAGTGAGACACCTAGGAATTCCTACCTTCTCCCAGGTCTCTCTTAAGCATTACTTGGGGGAAGGGATGAGATAGATGACATAGGAGTTATGCAGCTCATCTCCTACTCAAAAGGTCAGGGATGGAACCCATCAACCACTATGTGGGAGAACGATGCATCAGTCTTCTGGAAATCGGACGGCCTTTACAGTTCTACTCTGTCTTACAGCGTTGCTGTGAGTCGAAGTTGACTTGATAGCGATAGGTTGATGGGTAGGAGAAAGATTAGCCTTGACTTGCTTCTCCGCCTGCCTTCTTTACACATAGGCCAGCACTAGAGATCTAATTCTTAATCTAGGAGGAAAAAACCTGAGGATTATGTTCAGTTCAAATATTGGCTGGACCCCGTTTCCGGCATTGTTGACTAGGCACTTGTGATGTTGTTAGAGAAATCTCAAAGGTGAATATAGAAGCTGGTGATCAATTGCTTAAGCCCCACGTAATCCTTAGGCCTCCAAACTTACACCAATTACAGATGAACATGGCTACAGACCTGTCCAATCTTCCAAAAGCCCCTCTCCCTCCCCTCAGGATCACTGTTAGGGAAAATGGAGAGAAATTGCTCAGCTGGCAGAATTTGAGCTACCAGATTGGCCAATTAACTTAATATACTGCCAGGGAAATGATTCAACACATAGATGCCAATGAGACCAGCTAAAATCATCATCTATCTTATAATAGTACTTAGCTTTTTCCCCAAAAATTCTAAGTGGGAAGTTTTGATTAGAGTTATTATGACTTTTTACCACCATCAAATATTATGTAAAAGTTCAATTTGTACCTAAAGAAGAGGAACAGACATTACCTAGTGATATAGAAAATACATTTTTTTTGCATTGAAGTGGACTAATTTTATTTGTGTTTTTTATGTGTGGGATTATTGCATTTCATAAATTGGAGGTTTTAATGATATTTGTTTCCATAATAATGCTATTATCAAGCAACCACAAAACCTAGTGGCTTAAAACAACAATTATTTATTTAGCTTATGAGCTGGTGTGTTGGTTGGGCATTTCTTCTCGTCTTGGCTGGGCTCAGCTGGTCTTGGCTGAGCTTGGTCTTGTGTTTGTGGCTCAGCTGGTACATTGGCTGGGAATGCGCTAGTCTAGACCAAGGCCTCAAACCAGTTCCCTGTGGTTCTACCCACTGCTGAGAAGTTGAATTTCTACCCCACGTGTACTGAATCAGAATCTAGTGTCTCGTCAGATCCTCCGGTGATTCTTATGCAGCTACGACAATATCCCCAGGTGCAAATTATTAGTAGGGGGTGAGACGGAATGAACTGGTGTGAAGCCCTGATCTAGAATGTCCTCAGCTCTAATAACCTGGCTCTGCCCCTGGGTTTTCATCTTCCGAAAGACTAGCCTGAGCCTGGTCCGCTGTTGGTGACAGGGTTCTTAAAGAAACAACTGAAGCACACAGGGCCACTTCTGTCTGATTCAACTAGTTAAAGCAGTCATAGGGCTCACCTAGATTACGAAGCAGGGAAATGGACTCCATTTCTGGATGGAAGTCGCTGCAGAGAATATAGATACACTGGGGAGTGGAGACGTAGAGCCACGTTTGCGCAAACAATCGATAGATCAGTCAATCACAGAGACACTTGGAATATTGCTTCAATAGAAAGAAGAGATTATGAATGGTGGGTATTTACTCCTAACATCTGCCCAGCACTCTTTAATACGCTTATGAATAGTACTCCCACCCTCTCTCCTGAAAGGTACTTGAAACATAGGATTTGAATAGAAGCTGACATTTTCCAACAGACTGTGCTTTCTTAGCCACCAGGATTGGCTGGTCAGAAATGGACATCTGACCCAATTGAAGCAATCCAGAGTATCCTGTATCTTGTCTCAGTTATTAGTCTACGAGTGGCCAAAGCCTAATTCAGGCTCCACAAAATGTATACACAAATCAGAACCCCTTGTCCAGTAGGAAAGCAGCAAGGTTGGAAATGCAGAAATGACATCAATCATAGTAACACTGACAGACAATGCAAGCCTATAAGGAAATCCTCGTCTTGAGAGAAGCAGAGTCTTGGGGATTGAAGAATAAAGTGGAGGCCTTATCTTCCCTCCTCTGGCTACCCAAGGGTGAAGGAGAATTCAACTCTACATCTAAAAATCAGACATCCTCTATCCTTTAACCTTCTGTACCCTATTCTAATATCAGCTATCCCTCCCATGCCCCTCTGCTTCTCTGCTGGCTTTATAAGCTGCTCTCAGGGACACATGGGTTCACAGACAACACTCAAAATTACGGCAGTTTATCAGGGAAGATAACAGGTTATGTTAAGGATATACTTAGCTGGCAGGGGAGATACCATGATCACGAAGGTGGTTTTTCCCCGGGCGAGTCTTATCTGTTGCACTCAGGATATGCTGACCCCTGCGATCTCCCCAAATGTGGGAGACTTGACTGCATAATTGGTGGTGGTGGTGGTGGGGGAACTGCGTTTGTGCTCTCCCCTGGAAAAAAAAAAGGAGTGTTAAGGATATAGTTCTTTTGTCCACAGCATCTGTCTTCAGTCATGCAGGCAGGCACATCTCTGTCTCTCTGCTCCTTAGCCTCATGGTCCTGCCCTCCTTAGCAAGTGTTGCCAAGTAGCTCCTCCGTGTGCAGTGCTCCAAGTACAACGGGCTCGGTGGCCAGTGCCTCTCCTTGCAGGGATCGTGAACGTGTTCTGCTCGTGCTCTTGGCTCTCAAAGGGCCTGGGAAGACTATGGCTAGAAGATCCATACCACGTAGTTTTACTTCACTGCAGGAACATTCCAGTTTCTGGTATCACACCCCCATCCTTCCCATGGGGTGATTTCAGAAAACATGTCTCTCTACCTGGGTCTGTCTGTCTTTTTCTAAAATGACTTAAATAGAGAGCTATTCTATTGTAGCCAATGTGCGTGGTTTGAAAGAGTCCTTCTGTGCACAAATGCCCATATTCTCTTACTATGTTTGCTCTTCCCTTTATTAGCAATCCCTTCTTTGAGCTCGCAAAATGCACAAAACTATATGAAGTGAGACAAGCCATGTTCCTCATTTTCACTTGTTCGTCGTGTGTAGGTGTGTAGGTGTGCTGTGCAATGACAAGGTGGGGGAAAGGAGCACAGAAGAACTGGGATGAGAGGTGAGGTGGATAGGCGGCGGAAGTGACAGGGGAAGATCATGAACATTGCATGATATACAATTCCTGAATCCCACTCAAATTTAATTTACAAGAAAGGGAAATGTATTGGCTCATGCAAATAGGAAGGTCAAGAAAATATAGGCAAGAACAACTAATTCTAGGAGCCCAAGCCATGTAATTAAGCCTCATTTTCTCAAATCTGCTTTTTACTTAGGACATTATTTTCTACTGTATTTTTTAAATCCATTCCTTTATTCATTCATATTGAAGTCTATAATTAAGTGCCTAAAACACACCAATCTTAAAGTTTTGCATTCATATACATAGACCTAGATCAATAATTAGTATATTTCCAACACATCAAAGTTATTTTTCATGCCTTTTTTTTTTTTCAACAAATACTGTCTTCCCCTCCCGTCAGAAGAATTTTGGCTTTGGCTGATTTCCTACTTTATTTTTTTCCTTCTCCCCCTTCACTCAAGCTAATATATGTCTACTTTCTTACTCACTGCCTTTGAGTCGGTGCCAACTCAAAGTGACCTTATAGGATGAGGTATAACTGTGGGTTTCCAATATTGTAATACTTTACAGTTAAAACTTGTTTATATTTGAAAACTTCATCTTTCTCCCATGGCGTGGCTGGTGGTTTCAAACAGCTGACCATGAAGTTAGTAGCCACACGTGGAACCCATTCCACCACCAGGGCTCCCTCATGACTATTCTCTACTTAGTAATTTTTCCTCTCTTTCCCTTCCTGCTCCTGATAAATATCAAATACTGTTTCTTTGAATGTGGAAACTTTCCTTTGGCATTTTATAATATTCACCCTCAACTCACTGCCATCAAGTCACTTCTGACTCATACCGACCCTACAGGACAGAATCGAACTGTGCTTGTGGATTTCTGAGAATGTAATTTAAAAAAAATCATTTTATTGCGGCCTCATACAATGCTTATCACAATCCATCCATCCATCCACTGTGTCAGGCACATTTATACATTTGTTGCCCTCACCGTTCTCGAAACATTTGCTTTCTACTTGAGCCCTTGGTATCAGCTCCTCATTTTTTCTCCTCCTTCCCTGCTCCTCTCTCCCTCCCCAATGAACTCTTGATAATTTATAAATTATTATTATTTTGTCATATCTTACACTGTCTGATGTCTCTCTTCACCCACTTTTCTGTTGTCTGTCCCCCAGAGAGGAGGTTATATGTAGATCGTTGTAATCGGTTCCCCCTTTCTACCCCACCTTCCCTCCACCCTCCCAGTATCCCCACTATCATGATCCCAATTCTACCCAGCTAGACCAGAGGATGTACACTGGTACAGATAGGAACTAGAAACACAGGGAATCCAGTACAGATGAACCCCTCAGGACCAGTGGTGAGAGTGGCAGTACTGAGACTGTAATTCTTTATGGGAGTAGAAAGCCCCATCTTTCTCCCTGAGATTAGCGGGTGGTTTTAAACTGCTGACCTTGAAGTTAGCAACTCAATGCATAACCACTATGCCACCAGTAGGGTGGTCTCATATAATTCAGCCAGGTCATATGCCATCCTCACAATTGTTCATATGCTCATTGAATTTCTTTGGGAAATTCAGTATTCTTCAACAACACCATAATCCAAAGGCTTTCATTCTTCTCCAGTCCATTGTTTTCCTTGTTCATTGTCCAGCTTTGACTCGTATATTACATGATTGAAAATACCATCGCTTGGGTCAGACACACGTTCGTCTTCAAGGCGACGTCCTGACATTGTTAACACTTGATTTAAAGCAGTCTTTTGTAGCATAATTGTCTGATGCAATACGTAACTTGATTTCTTGACTGCTGTTTTCCATAGACATTGACTGTCGAGCCAGTAAGATGAAATTCTTAGCAACTTCACGCTCTTCTGTTTATCATGATGTTGTTGATTGATCCAGTTGTAAGGATATTTGTTTTCTTTCCATTGAAGCATAATCCATATTGAAGCCTATCGTCTTGACTCTAACCATATTAGTGGTCCTCTGTAACCTCGCTTGTCTACTTGCCCCCAGATGCTCCCAGATACTGGAATCATATTTCTAGGATACCATTTTTAATCGTTTTCTTTGTTCCTGCTCTATAACAAATTGGGTGGATTAACATAGCAGAAATGTATACCTTCATATTTCCTGAGGTTGGAAGTTCAAACTCACAGTGCTGGCAGAGCTCTGCTCTCTCTGAAGGTGCTAGAAGAGAATCCTTCCTTGTCTCTTCCAGCCTTGGTAGTTCCAGGCAGTCCGTGGTTTGTGGCAATATCACTTACGCCTCTGCCTCCATATTCACATAACCCTTTCCCTCCATGTCTGTTTCTTTGCCTATAATCTAATTGTCCTATAAAGATACCAGTTAGGTTGAAGTAAAGGCTCACCATACTCCAATATGACCTCATAGTAACTAATGACTTCACAAAGAAACCATTTCCCCAAAAGTCACATTCTGCGGTTTGGGGAAGGACATGGAATTTGGGGGAACACCATGCAATCCATTACATCATTCCTGGATGATATTATATGCTTCTATCTCTACATACATCTTTTTAGTTAAAGTATGAATCTTTTTCTATTTAGGCTTTTGTTAGGTGTTGTTAAGTAGATTTCGACAAAGGACCCTATGTGCTTTAACTTAGACTTTAAGAACAAATCTTATTTACCTTTACATTCTTGGAGCATATTGTATTGCTTCCAATAAAAATGCAACTATTCGTACAGGTTAGTCTATTAAAACTTTAAGCCCTTAATACCTTAGCTTGAATTCGTTGATAAGCATTATCTAGGAACATACTCACTCAGCCATCAGTAGTACTAAATCTGGGCTGCACATTAGAATCACCTGGGGAGCTTTTTAAATGTATTGATGTCTGTGCCTCACCCCAGACCAATTAAATCAGAATTTCTGGGATTGGGGCCCAGGCATCAATATTTTTAATAGATTTCCAAGTGGTTCTAATATGCAGCCAGGATTAAGAACTACTTCCCTACATGCAGCTTCTGTCTGTTACAAAGAGCTGTAGCCAAAGGAAAGATTCCATCTCCTTGGGAGGAAGGCTCTGTGAACACAATAACTTTTGAATTAAATCTTGACGGGCAGCAGCTCAGTAGGGAAAGATAAGGGAGAAAATGGAATGAGTAAAAGCCCAAAGATGGAGAGTTCCAGCTATGTATAGGAAATGCAGTGTCGCCTTTAGCTTGAATTGTAGGGGTGAAGTGAAAGATAGCATTTACTGAGTGTTTACTTTGTGCCCGGCTCTGTGCTAAACATTTTATAAACATTTCTCATCTAATCCTCATAATTACCTTCTGAGTAAAGAACTGAGTTGTCGATCATTCAAAACACTTGCAAAGGTAAAACAACTAGTTGGTGGTGTATCTGGGATTCAAACCTAGGTCTAGGTTGATTTCCATGGGTCCCTGGGTGGCACAAATGGTTATGCGCTTGACTAAAAGCCTAGAGATTCAAACTGACCCAGAGGTGCTTTGGAAGATAGGCCTAGGCAATTTGCTTTTAAAAAGGTCACATTCTGGGGTTTTTTTTTTTCTTTCTTTATTTTAAGGTCACATTCTTGAACACTCTAATAGAGCCTTCTCTTCTGCACACATGTCATTTTCCAGAACAATGCATGCCACCCAAACCCACAACTTCACCCCATGGCTAAAAGGCAGCATCTGTCTAATCAAATACAGCTACTAAAAGGCTCATGACCATGTTACATCGCAAGTGATTATCTACCCAGCTAGTGTATTTGCCAGTGGCCTGAATTTCCCTACTAGGTGGGGTTTAGCAAATGCATTTTAGGATGAGCTGTGGTGAACTAGCCACGTGGTTAATTGCTGGTCTTCCTCCAATTAGACTTAGGACCAAATGACCAAAGAACACTCCACTAGTCCCTGAGCTGTGGTGCTGTTACTCTTTTTGGCAACCAAGACCTCTAAGAATGATATCTGTTGAATATTCATGGGGAACTTACTAAGAGGCTGGAGTTCAAGTTCACCCAGAGGTGCCTTGGCAGACAGGCCAAGCCAATTCGCTTTTAAACAGTCTCCCAACCTTACATGTTTATTTTATTCTAGATTTTAGAATTGGCCACAGGGCATTATTTCTAAACACTGAATTACTCATTCATAAGCAGGCCATGGGCCCCTGAACACATTTCATCTAAGTCCTGTTCTGCTTCCCAATTGGCCACATGGTGCTAAGCCACAATCTTGGACCAGCTAAGTCAAGTAGAGGCCAGATTGTGCTTCTCAGGGTAGGCACTGGCCATTTGTTATTAAATGTTCTTTTATAAAAGAAGGCTAGATCAAAGAGACCAATAGGGAGAT